ACTTCCCAAAAAACACTGCCTCAAGAACACACATACCTCTGTGTTCTGTTTTCAGATTATCTGTGGAAAATCAACTTAACTTTTCATAACTAGTAGTTTCTGGATTTTAATTATTCAAAGAGAAGATAAGTAACTATCTCTGGTGTTGTTTAATGAAAGAAACAGTAGCAATATGTACAACCTTAGATTTTAAGAGACTCCCTCAAACCTAACCATAGAAGCTGAAATTGTGTAATTTTCAAACAATAAGTTTAAAGATTGGGGAATCTCATTAAATGTCAACAATATAGGTCAAACGTTAAAAACAAAAACCCTTTTCAGTGTTAGAAGTATCAGAAAATAGTCAAACCAGTACTTAAATACAATGCCTAGTTTGCTGCCTCCTCATGTACAAATAACATGACAGCAGATTGTCTTCCCCTCCATTGGTGAGGCATTATACCCTTCAATTCTGAGGAGCTTATTATTATTATTAGTCTCTTAATGTGTTACTTATAACAGCCATCACTTATGATCTGACAGTTCTCGTCTTAAATGAGTGACTGGGTCAAGCCCATCCAAATACTGCACATATTTGAAGCCAACTGATGTGATATTTTCATTAATTTGTAAATTTCCTTCGTAACAGTATTTAAACTCATGTTGGTCTTGAATAACCAGGGGCTCAGGAGCAGTGAAAGTTGTGCTCACCACTCAACTTTTTATGCTTATGGCCATCAATATTTTGAAATAACTATGATCTGTGTTGAGCATCAAGTTGACTTGCAGCTTTGATTGTTTGATACACTATCCATCCCGTTTAAACAAATTTCCTTGTTTTATATTGGTAATTTCTCTCCTTGACTGAGTTCCTCTGCCTGATTATCCATGGACTTTCTAGAGTGTGAACCATGCCCCCATGGCTGTGGTCAGCCATCACCTGATCTGACCCATTTCCATTCCCACGGTTAGTTCTCTTCCTCCCTCTTTTCTTCCTGTTTCAATCTTTCTTTTCAGTTTCTCCTTTTCCTTCCTCTTCCTCTTTTCCACTTTCCTCTCTTCCCAAATCCCTCCCTTCCTCTACACACTTCTTTATCTGCTGCTATAGTATGTTGGTTTATCACTGGGAGACAAGACAGCGAGAGAGACCAGTTACTGTTCTGTGATGGCTGTCTCTTTATAATTTGTCCCTTCTTTTATCAGCTTGATTGAACTGCTTTTCCCATTATTTTTATTTACATTTTTCATGTCTAGAAGTGCTATGCCTTTGGTATTCAATACTATGTCTGTATAGTCCTTTCAGTTTTTATTCAATGTTGTGTTGTGTGCTGTATATATACCTGCTAGTGTAGGGATGTACCCTGTGCATGCTGGTATATGCTAGGTCGAGGTTGATGTTGGGTGTCTTTCCTTGACTGTTCTCCACTTTATTGTCAGAGATTACAGGTGTACCTCACTTTTTATGTCGTCATCGGAGATCTGAGCTTAGGTACACACACTGGCCAGAAAGAACTGAAGTAATGGGCGTTATCTTCCTGGTGTTTTCTTGTCCTTCATGTTAAAATTCAGGGTTTTTTTTTTTAAGGTTTCATTTATAGCAATTTTATTCTGTGCCCAATAATATTCACAAGGAAGTGGTCCTAATTCAGTATCGTAAGGTGAAAATGTTAACTACAGAAAACAATCCTTTAAGTAAACGATTAGGTATAAATATGAGGGTACAGATGAAATTCCTAATGAAATGTTTATTTGTTGAGTTCAAGTTTAGTTAAACTATTGAAGGACAGAGGCAGGTGTCACGAAGGACAACTGTTAATGGACACTCAACTTTCAGTACAAGGAAACGGAAAGGAACAGCAGGATGTTGACAGATTTCATTTATTTCACCTTGGGCTGGCATTTTTTTCTCAGTTTCTCATCCCTTCTCTGAAGACAGAGGGAGGTACAATCTACTTATCTACTTCACTGCATCATACCTGCCCATCCTTTCCACATGGACATAGGTATTTCAACAGGGCCTATTACTGCACTTTCAAAATGGTGTCAACATTTTTCATAGCGCAATTTCTTGTTTGCTTCCCTGTTTTCACTTCTCCTGGACTTGGGTATTACAAGCTGAGCATGATGGTAGGTGCTTGCCTTTTTTTGTGGCGAAGACAGGAAGGCCTTTGCTGTACACTCACTGTGGTTTACATCTGTTCCATTTGATTGTGAGAACGGATTATCCTTTTATCCATTTTTGCTGAGTCCCCTCCCCCAGCCTCTACTCTCTCTCTCCCTTCTTTGCATTCTCTTGCTGTCAACATTCCTCCTGCAGCTTTATAAACTATAACGCCTATTAGGTCCCCAGTCCACTTCTGCTAAATCCTTTATCAATGAGACACTTTCTAGGTTACCTCATTGAATGCTTTCCAGTTCCACCCATGTCTATGCCAATTCCATAGTTCTTATAACAAATTTATCTCGATATGTAGCTCAATAAATTTCATTCCGCAGCATATTTTCATTCTCCGTTTATCGGTTGATGGGCATCTCGTATGATTTCACTTCCTCCCTACTGTGAAAGAGTAGCAATGAACACTGTGTGAGCATCTCGGTAGTAGGATGTGGCATCCAGTGGGCATGTGCCATTTTAGTGGTGTGGTCATTGTCATTTTAGTCTACCGCACTGAATGTAACAAACTGTTGTACTGTTTGATTCTAGGTTACATATTTCTGAACTTACAGGAGCTTTTCATATCCTTCTGTTCATTTAGATATTTTCTTATGAGTTGTTCTTTTACTTTGAACATTTATAAATTTTATAATTATAATTATTTTCTACATAATATCTATCTCTTAAAAAGACAGCAAAGCTGATTATCAGGTTGTTTGCTTATTTCTGATTTCATGAACAAGTTTTGATTTTATTAGATCTAATGTTTGTTACCTTTAAATATTTCTCCCTATACACGCTTATAAAGCTGTACTACATTAAAAAGTCACCTTTCTACACTAAGTTGTTAATCTGCCGATAAAATTTTTTTAATGTAATGAGACTGTTATCGCTTATGGTTAATACTATTCCCTAATTATATCAGCTTATCAGAATGACAATATGTGATTCTGAAATAAAGTCATAATATGTGAAATATTTGTTAAACGTGAATTCAAACCTGTTACATTGTTAGCTATTCTTCACAGCACTTGTCACACAAGTCTTAGAGTGACTGAAATCATTATTCAGTTAAGGTTGCCTTTGAATTCCTGATAATCAAACCTCACTTCTCCTTCAGGAGCTGAGTCACAGCCAAGACTACCATGCCTGGTTTAAATCACCTTTGACAAGTTGTATTCTAAACATTTATTTTCATTTTCAAATCTACCACCATAAAGTTATTAAGAATCATGCTTTCTTTTTTCTTTTCTACCTACACAGTTTTAGAAACTTAATTTTTACTAGTTTATTTTAAGCAAATGAGTACTGGCTTAAGAGTCCCACTATGTGCACCTTAAGTTTGTTTCTGTCACATCTAATGACTTTAGGGTTTAGTCCTGGTAATAACTTTCAGGTGCCTGCAAGACGCATGCCATTTTCAATTCTAAAATCAATTTTAACGACTTTTTTTTTTTTTTTTTTTAGCACACATACTTCCAATGAGGCTCAAATCGAACTAGAAATATTTTAAAATTGGGAAGACAAACTAAATTCCAAGGCCTTTCAGTTTTTTGTGCAATATCATTTCAATGATTAAATCATAATTCCCATTCTCCTCTGAAGAATTATCAAGAACATCTGTTGAAATATGAATGACATACCTTCTCCAGCACAGCGAACTTTTAAAGAAGTACTATGTCAAGGTAAGCAGAGAGCTGACATTTTGTTAATGTAACTTTTCAGCATTAATGTGAAAAACACTTTCATATTGTGTTTAAGCACGTAGATACTAGCTCTTTGTTAAATAAATGAACATAATATTGACAAGTCAGGTTCAGAGGGCAGTTATCAAATGTCTGCAGAGCAAGTTTTCCTGAATCCTTACTACTTCAAGTAACTTGAGATGACTATATCCAGCATACAGGGATACAAACTATTTATCTTTTCTAACAATATATTACCTACAGAACATACTTGGTCTGTATATCATTTTAGAAAATGAAGGACTAACTAAATTAACTCTAATTCTACAAAATAGGATGCTTGCATCAGATAATTTAAATACAAATTTAATAGCAAATTCCTATATAAATAGAAATCTAAGGAAAATCGAAGTTTTGTTTTTTTTTTAGGATTTCATAGTAAACTTGTCACATGACCTTTAACAGAGCTTCACCCCATTTCCTTTTAAAACAGTATCTCAATAGGACTGCAGGTCTTAAGTGGTTAATTGCATTTAATTATAACTCAGGATCATGGAAGAGAAGGCTGAATACTGTATTACATGTCTGAAGGCTATTTGAAGTACTGAACTAGAAGTTTCCTACTCTGGTCCCATTCCCAGGACTTTTGACTGGTCTATTTCCCACCTTCAACTATCTAGTGAATTAGAAAGCTGGGTAGAACACAGTGACTTTGATCAGTACTAAATTTTATGTAGAATTTCTAAAAAATGCTCAAACTGTAGATAACAATTAAGATATGCTATTCAAAAGCAAATAAAAAACCTGGAGTGGGACAAACTAAGGTAGAAGCATTTTCTGCTATGTGTCATTTGTTTGTCAAATTAGTTTGCTGATGATGTATATACTAAAACAAGTTCTACACTAATTAAACTACCACAACACATCATTATTAGTAGGCCTGGACTGTATTTTTTTTTTTAACCGTCTTCTTATTTCACATGAAAAAGGGAATTATATATATATTTTTTTAGTGTAGACAGCTAAATTTGAAGGACTAGACTGAGAAAACAAATCTGGACAGAGTTCCTCTATGGATTCTGATGTACATCCCATTCAAGTACCAAGATTCAAGAGTGGTAAAACATTTATTTTGCTATGCACACCCCTGACAAATATGTCATTAAAAAGATGAGTCAAAGTATTTTTTTTTAATTTTATTATTGTTTAGCAATGGGAAAATGCAATTTATTTACACCAGCAGCCATATGGGCAGGGGGAACACAAGAGTTAATTAGCTATTTGTATAGGACTGGATTACTTATTAAAAAATAAGAATCTCCAAAACAAAGGACAGTGGTGAATTTCACACTACCCTCCCCCAATGATCCCAGCATGCGATAATGCCAGGTAGTGGCTCCTGGGCATGCGGTGGTGGCAACTAATTTACTGAAGAAAAAAAACCACAAACCACAGAAAATTTAAAGAACCCCCTTTCCCCCATATACATACACTCAGATACATAATAGGATTACAGGGTGGTCAATACAATTAATAGAAGAGGAAGGATAGAATTCTGTTGATACAGGAAAGGTAGGGGAAGGGGAGAGTTCCTAACCACTGTCAACTATATGGTGGAGAACATTTGCTCCCAAAAAAGTAGTTTGTTCCCTCAGGGCAATAATTGCTGGACTGAACCCACCTTTTAATCTACACAGAGTGGGGAGCTATGGCCCTAATGGAAATGTTGGAGACAGAAATTAAAAAACAATAACAAAAGAGGGAAGTAATATGAGCAAACCATTATCCCAAACTACCACCCACATCTTTATGTTCTAACCAGAAAAGGCAAGAAAACTAAAGTCACATTTGAGTTCCCTATCTGAAGGCAAGAGTGAGTGGGCCATGGCCTCTCTCCCTTTCATGTTTCCCAAGTATTTTACATAAGCAGGAATCTCAGACTGCTTTTTTCCCAGAACTCATTGAATGTTTTTAAAGAACTCATGTAGCAAGTTATCTTCTAAAAGCGTTTTTAGCTTCTGCCAAGGTGTTATTCAAGTTCTCTCAATTCTTGGACTAATGATCCAAACTTAACTAGGCCCTAACCCTGAGCTGTAAAACTCTGAGAAGGCAATAACAGATAGTCTAAAGGCCCAAGCACTATAGTTTCCTTAACTCTTGAGTACAGTAATCCAAATTAGTTCACACAGTTCAAATAGCTCCTGGGAGAAGGAAGATACATACACAATAGGGATAGAAAAGTGGAGCAGAATCAACTCCTTCCTTGTGTATGCTAGCATTCACGGTTCTGCAGTAAGTCCTAAGAGGCAGTATCCAAGTATCGATGGGAAGAAAGAACTTATGACAAGGCAGGGAGATATACCAGCAAGGCAGGCTTGTATAAGAGAAACATTTAGACATGACACTGCCTTGTAAATTTAAAAAAGAAATTTTTTTTTGTTGTTATTCCAATCCAAATAGAGGGAGCCATGAGAGATTCTCCCCAAAGGCTTCCATAAAAACAGGTAAAACAAAACCAACATAAGAACTTAAAAAGTTAGAAAATGACAACAAAACAAAAGGAAAAAGGAAACTTGTGTAGGCTTCAGAGCAGGAGCACTGGAAGATGAGCTGAAACTGGTCAAGATAAAACCTAGAGTGGCAAGCAGCACCTGGGATCATGAGCTGCACCAGATAGGCAGTGGAGCAGTGACAGGAACAGGGCCAAGCCAGACAGATGAGGCTGGACCCTTTACTGGGGCACAGAATGAGGTAAGAAAACATTTCAAATAAAGCAGCACCTTTCTTTTCTGCTCACCTCACGACTCCCACCCTCCATAAACCCCCATTTAGGGACTAAAACAGAACAGTTTTGATATGCCACTCACTTCCTGTTTACATCTAACCCTGCCTCCAAAGTCAGGAAATTCCCAACCTTCCAACTTCCAACAAGAAAAAAACAGCCCCTGCTGTAAGGAGGTCCTGAGGACCAAGTGACCAACTGTCATTTGTGAGGGCAGAGAAGGTGGAGACAGTCTTATTCACCATAGCAGAGGTCTGACAGCCCAATTGAAGAAGGGAATCTGCAACCATACCAGGTAAACCAGGCCTGTTTCAGGGCTCTTAGCACTAAACTCATTCACATTATTGAAGGCAGATGGAAAAAGTTCCCTCCTGGCTCAATTTTCAAACAGCTTCCTGCTTGGCCATGATGTCCTTCTGTAGTTCAGTGGTACCACTGGAGAACAGTGACCTGTCATAATGTTCAAGTCAGACCCATGGACTGGTTACATCACCAGTAACTCAAAAGTAGGAAAGGACTGTCCCACCAAACTTATGTCCACAGTATATAATTCAAGACACGAGTCTTCCAGGTGGAGATGATATGCAATCGTGGAGGTATACTTCATCCTCACAGCATCAAAACAAAATCTTCAGCTGATTGTAAACCACCTTGTCCTTTGCCAAACCTTTGCCACTCAGCGGAATGGAAAGACAGGTCTTTTGATGAGTCAAAGGCGAGGCCTTGTCCCCACAAAATGCTGGACCTTTGGAAAACAGGTGATTCTGAACTTCTTGTAGACAAGGGCACAAGGGCTTCCCACCAAATTCAAAAGAGAATTAATATTTTTAGTATTTAAGTCTCATACCTGACTTCTATTTGTATCAAAGAGGCCCAATTGGAGGCTTAGAAATCAGAGGAGCAGTCCACTGAAGCTGACTGATCACGGCCTGACCATCAACAGCATCCAAACTTCGCAGGAAGCCCTTGACATCAAGCAGATGCAAAATCTGAGAAACAAAAGAATTTTATAGGCTGGGTACACAGCTGCTCGCCTGTGTGCTATGGGCAGTTCAGGGATCTTGTACATCCACGTGTATTTATAGAGCTCAAAATACAGTATGCCACCTCTGGACCTTCTCCTGTGCAGGATTTCAGGGCTGGCACTGGATACCCTTTCAAATGGACCCGGATTCCTAAATTCTCCTCTTTGGGTTTGTTGTTGTTTTTTGTCTTCTTGTTTTTTGTATTTTAATGCTAAGATCTTCAAGGGGAAATGGGACTTTTGTTTGCTTTTTATTTATTTATTTATTTTCTCTCCAACTTAGCTTATTCCTCCAAGCCACGGGACCAGTCTATATCATTGTCCTGGTCACTGTCGCCCTCTCTCATGTCGTGACTACTGGAATTCTGGAGGTGAACGCTGCAGCTCCGTCTGGGGCCCATTCCCAGGTTCTCCAGGAAGGGAGCAAAGCGGGAGGCGGCATGCTCCTTTGTCTTCCACTGGCTGAATGCCAAAATCCTTCACGCTACCAGTGTCTGCAAACTCCAGGTAGAAGTAGCCACATTTGACTGCCCGGTGCACCTCAAAGCAGAATCCCAGGCAGGAATCCTCTATCAGGTCTACATAGATCTCCTGGGCGATGGCCTCCAGCTTGTTAGTATCCAGGTTGGCCAACGAAATCTCCTCCATCTTAATCGGTTAAGCGACTGTGCAGAGGGCGCTGGTTTTACTCACGGCACACTCGTCGGGCTCCGCGGGCCGCGCTAGGCCTGCAAGGCCTCTCAGGGCCGCGTCCTCCGGGTCGGCAACGGCGGCGTCCGCGGCGACAGCAACCGCTGCTCCGGAGCCCCAACGCTCGCTCGCTCGCTGGGCTCCGACGACACCCACGTTCGGGATTCTGTGGTGCACCCGAGAGCCTGACTCGCCGTTAAACCGTCTCAGCGCCTCACCCTGCCGTTCTGGCCTCTTCCTCTCGCTGACGGTCTGGGCCCGCCCCGCCACTTCCGCCCGGTGCTGCGCCTGCGCACTGGCTCCGCGCGGAGGCCGGGCTTTCGGCTCCGGCGCAGACCGCTGGCTTGGAGCTTTATGGGTCTGTGAGAGCCGGTGGGGACAACTGTCATGCTCGTCCTTCGCTCGGTTCATGAAATGCTATCGACGATCCTCTGCTATTTTGTTAGGGGTTTCGAACGTTCGTTAATGAGTTCACCTGTGTTTAAATGATTTCCTACGTAAAAGGAGGAATGATAATTACTTGTCCTGTTGTGTGATCAGTCGAATAATGATTTTAGGTACATTTATCCACACACGACTGCAAATTTGACATACAAGCTTGACTTGCAGTTATTTACAGTACTGCCGCAGTTGTCATTTAAATCCACTAGATGGTGCAAAGAAACAAATTGCCCTATAGTTTAGCTTTGAGTCTTTGAATGAAAACGACTAGGATCTTGACACTAAAGGCATAATTCAAATATATTGATCAAATAAACCTAAGGCATTTATCTCACTTATAAGACCATTAAGTCAGCGTGACTGCAAAGAAATGATTATATACGTCTCCAAATGTGCTACAAGATAAAAATGTGTGTATAGTTTGGGGGAGGCAGGGGGAAGGAGAAGAAGATTTTCCTAAAGTTGCACTGCTTTCATTGTGAGAACTAGAACTGGCCCACCAAATTCCCTGCAGCCAGCTCCTAACAATTTTTCTCATTTGACTCAAGCAAGTCCTTTTTCTGTGGTTAAGGTCATTCATAAAACACACTACTAACCACAATAGATCAGAAGATGCCGGCTATTCCTAGACAGATTAGTTGTGAATTCAAACATAAGGAAGTCGCTGTACTATTTTGTCTTATTTTTTTTTCTTTTTTCCTTTTGGTCATTATTCGATCCTCCTCTGCAACTGCTTTACTTTTGTAGTTTATCAAAAAGGAACTGTGGCTAAAGAAAAATTCAAATGCTCATTTCTAGATTTCTTATTCAAGGTTTCCAGATTAGAGAAAAGCATACACTCATCAGAACATTCTAGTTTCAACATTAATTAATATCTATGTTTCTCTCAGTACAGAATTACCTTACACTGATTGGTTTGCAGTGTAAATTGTTTGTAAACAATTGTATTTTCTAATTGTCTATTTAATCACCTTAGATAACACAGGTTGGCAGATACAGATCACCAAGTAGTAGAACATTAAGTAGTAGCTTATATTAATTAATTTTTGTCTGCCCAGAGTTCTGTTTTAAAAAATGTAAAACAGAACTTTTTCTTTTAAAATGTGGACTTTTGTATAATCTATATGTTCTAGATTCAAAAAATTAACCTATTTATGCAATGCGGGGTCTCATAACAGCCATACAATAAAGCACGTGATGTTTAAGAGTACATGTCGCCAAACCAGGCTACCTCTTACAGTAAATGCCTATGTCAATCTTTGTATTTGGACCTGTTTACTTGAAATTTCAGTAATAGATGTCATCACATAGTTTTGTAGTGAGACATGTGGCAATAAATACAAGAATGTTCACACAGTGCCTGCCATGATGTGTAGCGGTACAAACTGTTACGTGCCTAGTTAGGTGAGAAATATACAGTTATGCCTTTAAGCATCTTAGCTCTATTCTTTTCTCTTCCAACTAAGTGTAAAACATTACTTTCCAGGTACATGTACGAATTCAGAGACATTTGCGAAGTTTAGACTTTTTTTCTGAAGGTCTGGGGTTGGGACCTAGCTTCATTTCTAGAATGCTTTGACATATGCTGATGCTGACACATTGGTTGTCAAACTAAAGTTCTTACTAACAGACAACCCCCCTTTGTCATCATTGATGTATCATGCCAGGTCATCAACGAGTCTTGTTCCCTTAATTAAACAAAACAAATATGAGATTGTTTTTCTGAACCTTATACAGTGGGAGTTGTAAACTGTCCTTGTATTTAGCTAATAAATTTAGTACAGTTCAATGAAAAATTATTTCAAAGTATATGTGCTTTTACGCTCATTGAAATTCAAATAATGAGATTAGAATCATTTTAAATATTCTGTCAGCATTTGATTCCATTTACTCTGACTAAACACTATTGTTTTGAAAATTTGTAGTCTCACGCCCGTCTTGTCTCACCTTCTATCTGTATCACAAGCTAAATTGTCTTAATTTGAGTTGAAATATACTGGATCTCTTATTTCAAATCAAAACTATCAGGAATATAAATGAGACTTTATTGGTCATCTTAATGGAGTAGTGAATGTTCTGTATCAATATTTAGTTCGTTTTCTAAGTGCAATACAAATAATATGCAGTGCTTCTTCACAAATAGCCTTAAAGTATATGCATTAAAATATGTAGTGCACCAAAGGAATACACTAATTTTTCAATCAACTTTGATTTTTTTCTCTCATCAAGTATTGTGTGCAATGAGAAGAGCCACTCTTTCAAAGTGGAAAAACATTGGAAATCTCATGTAAACGTATTTTAATAGACATGGCCATATCTTTGATACCTACCTGTCAGGGGAGATAACATGATCAAGAAGACATTTTTATGGTGTGAGCTCATCATTGTACTTGGGATGAATTGGCACCTTTGGCTTCCCCAAATAGGAGAAACAAACTGCATAATTAGTGGCGGTAGGAACTGTGCTTGTGGCCTCCTTTGTAAAATAAACAAGAGAACACATACATGTTGGGTATGTCATTTTTTGTACTCACAGAAAATAGAGACAAATGAGTCAGTAGAACCCATCCAGATGGAGGTGGAAGTCAGCTAACCCAGTTGTCAGTCATGTTCCAGAGTTATTTTTCAGGGAACATGTTTGTATGTGCAGGTTTATGCTTTAAAACTATTTTAAATAAGAGTGTGTATTTCTTCAAGATTTCATGTCAGTATTAAATAGAAATCAAATAACCACTGATAACATTTTTAATTGTCTTACTTATTTAAGTTCTTAATATTGCCCCTTTCTCAGTCCCCCTTCAAAAGTTCTTCACCCCATACTTCCTCCCTTTTGCCTCTGAGAGGGTACTCCTCCATCTACCCCACCAATCCCCTCACCCACCCACCTACCCACCCGCATCTCCTACCTCTCCCACTGAGACCAGACAAGGTAGTCCTCTGCTACATATGTGCTAGTGGGCATGGATAAGCTCATGGATGCTCTTTGGTTGGTGGCTTAGTCTCTGGGATACCCCAGGGGATAGGATTAGTTGATACTGTTGGTCTTTCTATGGGGTTGCCATCCCCTTCAGCGCCTTCAGGTCTCCCCCTAACTCTTCCATAGAGGTCCTTGATCTCACTCTTTGGCTGTAATATCTGCCTTTGTCTCAGTCAACTGCTGGTAGAGTCTCTCAGAGGACAGCCATGCTAGCTAGGCTCCTGTTTGCAAGCACAACATGGCATCAGTAATAAGCGTCAGGGTTTAACATGGGGAGTATACAAGGAAGCACAGAACGTTTATAATTCCTGTTTGGATTTAAGGATCAGCACCAAAAACATAATGTAGAAACTTAGAAATTTTCTAGAAAATTCTAGAAATTACTTAGGCTTTAGCAATCAGAATGTGGTAACTATTAGTAGAAACCTTTAAAAATGTATCATAAAAGTTTCAAATGAATACCTGCATTGAAATAGTAAAAATAGTTTCTGCACATTAAACTTTTACTCAGATCGATATGTTGACAATGATAGCATTTTTGATCTGTTTTCCCTTAAAGTTTCTTTTCCAGAAGCAAGTCTGAATTACTGTGTTCTGCACAATCTGGCAGTAAATTGCAAACAGGTCTTACCATTCCCACGTCTTTCATTGCTCAGGTACTTTAAGAGCAATGCACTCTGTATTGGCTGTTTTTTTGTGTCAACTTGACACAGCTGGAGTTATCACAGAGAAAGGAGCCTCCCTTGAGAAAACACCTTTCTGAGATCCAGCTGTAAGGCATTTTCTCAATTAGTGATCAAGGGTGGGAGGGCCCACTGTGGGTGGTGTCATCCCTGGGCTGGTAGTCCTGGGTTTTATAAGAAAGCAAGCTGAGCAAAACAGGGGAAGCAAGCCAGTAAGCAACACCCTCCATGGCCTCTGCATCAGCTACTGCTTCCTGACCTGCTTCAGTTCCAGTCCTGACTTCCTTTGAGGATAAACAGCAGTGTGGAAGTGTAAGCTGAATAAACCCTTTCCTACTCAACTTTCTTCTTTGTCACGATGTTTGTGCAGGAATAGAAACCCTGATTGAGACACATTTTTTCACGCTATCACTTTAAGAGATTCAGATGGAGTCAGATATCGTTGTATAACATATGACTATTGCCAGTTGTCCTATGTCTTTTATTTAGTTACTTTTGTAGTTGCCCCAGGATCCTGTGTTCCTATATCATGGCTATTTCAATTTTTGGAACAATTGGATAACACAGAAATTCTGAAGATAAAATGTGAATTCAGAAGCTTTACAAGGCTAGTAACAATCAGGGTTCCCTTTACATATAAAAACTCTCTGAAATGTCTATTAAATCAATGTCTAAGTGACAGTTTATTGATTCCCTTTCCTTCTCTGATAAGCCATGTCCTTTAATAGATCTTGATCTTGCTAACTATACTTTTTCCAAACACACTGGTGTTTGGAAACATAACCCTAGAGATTTGGGAAGAGTATTATCATGACAGCAATACTATTTTTCAGGCTATTCTAGATTAGAAAAAGATTAAGGGTATAAGATTTACACGTATCCAACTTAATAGAAAATACAGACCACAAAAATGATGCTTTCATTTTGGGTAAGGAAATTAAAGTTAGTGATGTCAAGAGAATTGTTTAATCTGTGTGTGGCAAAATTAGTACCAACAGCTAAATCTAATTCCTTTCCTGATACAGAATTCTTTCCCTAATGTCTGCTTTCTTAGCAGCAGAAAGTTTAGTGATGGCTAAATGTATTTTTATAAACTAGAATAATTTATAATATATTAATCATAGTATCAATATAGAATGTACTGATTAATGAAAACTATGTGGTTTTAGAAACTTGGTGTAATGTTATATTAATTTTGTTATTATGAAAATTTACAATATTTCAAATTAGAAATTAAAATATTAAAACTAGCAAATGATTCAATCCAAAAGAGAATCACACACCTATTTAGAAATGCATCACATACCCATTTAAATTAATTTCTTTCTTTCTTTCTTTCTTTCTTTCTTTCTTTCTTTCTTTCTTTTTCTTTCTTCCCCCCCCTCTCTTCCTTTCATTTTTTTACTTGACACATTCTTGCTCTGTAATCCAGGCTGTCTTCAATCTTCAGATCCTTCTCCCTCAGACTTTTAAGTATTAGAATTATAGTGGTGTATCACCAACCATACCCACCTGAAAGGTGGCATCATTGTTACAACTTTTCAACTATTTAATTGTTTGAAATAAAATCAAAGTTATTTCTATGGCTTTTTCCACAGTGCTTTGCTTCTCGGTTAGGAAGACAGTTTGATGTAATTAATTGAACATACGTTGTTGTAATTTGACTAATGCTCATTGACTTTGTTTTTATTTCTTTTCTCCCATGAAGAACTATTTTCTTAAGTCAAGCTGTTAAACTGGTGGGTGGTATGCTTTTATTTCTTATATTCCACAGATAATCATCTGGCATATGCCACCAAGTAAGAGATTGATTTTCTTTGAAAGAAATGGTAAATGGAAAATTAAGAGAAAATTAGAGTTCAAACATGGAGTGGCTCAGAACTGGTTGTGAGTTAATTACTAATATTTCCTAAGTGACTTATTCTAATTTCTCGAATTAAATCTTACAGCATTGTTTATGCTTTTCCTCCATTTGTGGTGAATCTGGTCTTTGCTTTTCAATTCTAACAGAAGTTACACAATTTTCCTATGATACTCATAAGGATCATTAATTTCCTGCTAATCACTCTCTCTGTATTTATTTAACTACCCTTTTTATTTATCCTATCCCTATTTTACTGATCCTTGATATTTGTAATCATCTATTATTTCTACTAATTTGTTAGTCATTCCATACTGTTGCTATAATTTTATTTTAGTAAACTGTGAATAAACATATCATAGCCATTGGACATATACATGTACATAATCATGTACATATACATCATATACATACATACATACACATATTGATTGGTTCATATGTTTCTTACTTCCAGAACTTTGGGCATTTATTTTATTGATAAATACACATTAAATGTATACGTCATCATTTATATTAAGCACAATGCTATGTGCACAGAAGATTCTTCATGCTCCATAGTAAAAAAGCTCTGTTTCAGCAAGTTTTAGATTTGCACTTTATCTTTTAGTAGCCTAGCTCCATAAAATTGATGCTTCTGACAGCTTTGTTCCCCCTGAGAATTGTTCCCAAGAACAAAGAGAAATCATTTGAAAAAAGAACTATTTACCAAATACAAATAAAGTTTGCCAGATAAAAAACAGAGTTATGAACACATGTGTGAGTGTTGTGGCATATTTAATAAAAATTCATAATTGGAACATTTAATGTAAAAATTTGTTAGAAGACTAAGGGACTTTTAATTGTACTGTTCATATATGTTTTGCTTCGGTAACAAAGGATATTAGCTGTGAATAAATATTTCTATTCCATAAAAATAAGTTATTGCATGCCTCTGTAAGAAAACATTTGTTTATGCCGCAAGTGGAACGATAAAATAACTGTGAAAGAATTATTAACCTTAGTTTGTGTCTTATTTAGGGTTTCCGTTGCTGAGAAGAGACACTATGACAAAGGAAACTTTTATAAAGGACAACATTTAATTGGGGCTCGCTTGCAGGTTCAGAGGTTCTGTCCATTATCTTCATGGCAGAAGCATGGCAGTGTCCAGGTAGGCATGGAACTAGAAGAGCTGAGAGTTTGACACCTTGTTTGGAAAGCAAACAAGAGAATTTTTACTAGGCTGTTTTGAGACTTTCTTTGTCAATGAAATTAATCTAAATCTCTTTACCTGCCTCAGGCAAACTCTTCAGACAATGACAAAAAGCAGCAACCTTCTTCACCAAAATACAACAGAAAGTCTCTAGGCTAGACCTTGTACTGAAGTTCTTCCCCTCTGCACTCTTATAAAGAGCATTTGAATGAAAAGTAGCAAGCTGAAAAAGAAAAAAACAAAAACAAAATAAATGCTTCAAAGAGCAAAAGGGCACCAAGAAGTGCAAAAGGGCTAAATCCTGTATTCAAGGAGGTAACTAGAGTAAAGAAGTAGTGACTTTGGGGCCAGATCCTACCCAGCTAAGTTTAGGTCCAGGCATGGTAGTGCTAGCCTTTAATCTCCGGAGATGGAGGCAAGCAGGTCTCCTGAGTTCAAGGTCAGTCTACAGAACAAGTTCCAGGACAAATGAGCATGTTAAAACCACGACAGATGGTGTGGTCTTGTTGGAGGAGGTGTGGCCTTGGAGGAAGTATGTTGCTTAGAGGGTTTGAGACTCTTCTAGCTGACTGGAAGTTACATGGAAATAGTCTGTCTTAGTTAGGGTTTCCATTGCTGTGAAGAGACATCATGACTTAGGCAACTCTTATAAAGGACAACATTTAATTGGGGCTGGCTTACAGGTTCTGAGGTTCAGTCCATTATCATCAAGGTGGGAACGTGTCAGCATCCAGACACATGGTGCTGGAGAAGCTGAGAGCTCTAC